GGTGTGGTCCTCTTTGGATTCCTTTTGTTTGGGGTTCTCTGTGCTTCCTAGACTTGTAAGTCTATTTCTTTCACCAGGTAGGAAAGTTTTCTGTCATTATTTCTTGAAATAGGTTTTCAATATCTTGATCTCTCTTCTTCTGGCACCCCTATAATTTGGATGTTGGTACGCTTGAAGTTGTCCCAGAGGCTCCTTACACTATCTTCATATTTTTGGATTCTTTTTCTTTTTGCTTTTCTGGTTGGGTATTTTTTGCTTCTTCGTATTTCAAATCTTTGACTTGATTCTTGGGATCCTCTTGTCTGCTGTTGGATCTCTGTATATTATTCTATATTTCAGTCAGTGTATGCTTAATTTCTAGTTGGTCCTTTTTCATATCCTCCAGGATCTCACTAAATTTATCAGCGGTTTCTAGAAAATTCTTGAAAAACCTTATAACCGTGGTTTTGAACTCTATATCCAGTAGTTTGCTTTCCTACATTTCTGTCATTTGTGATCTGTTTCTTTGTCTCTGCATTTTTTATGCTTCCCTGTGTTGGTAGAGTGGCTTTGTGTGCTAGGTGTCCTATAGGGCCCAGTGGCTCAGCCTCCCCAATTACCTGAGGTGGACACTCTTGGTGCACCCCTTTGTGGGCTATGTGCACAGTCTTGTTGTAGTTAAGCCTTGATTGTTGTAGGTATCACTGGGAAGAATTGACCTCCAGGCCTATTGGCTGTGTCTATGGTGGGAGAACTTCTATGCTGAAGACACCCTTATGGGGCAAGACTTGCTTCAGTGGGGCTTTGGTGCTCACGGAGTCTGCCCCCTGAGTGTGTCCCTTATGGATCTGAGGAGTTGTAATCTGGATGGTCCCACTCTGACCACTGGGTACACTTGCTCTTGGATCTAAGGAGGTGCTAATTTAGCCTCTGCCTGAGGCTACTCAGCAGGAGCTGCAAAGAGATCTGCAGATTCCCCTTCCTTGTCTGGGGTTTGGAGGTGGCCAGATGAGGTCCAGCTGTGAAGCAATGCAAGCTGCTGTGGGGCCTTGGGCCTTCTCTTGGAAGTTCTGGGTCTGTCTGGCCCAGCTGCAGTTTGTTAGGTAATTTTCAGATTGCAAAGGGCCAGGGCATTCATATGCAAAAGCCTCTGCTACAGCTTGGGTGGGGCGGGGTCTCAGGTAATCAACAGGGTGGAGCAAACAGCTATGGTTGATCCTCAGCCCTGCCCTAAGAGGCCCAGCATCTCAGTGTCCTGGTAATCGCTGCAAGCACCTCTGAGACAAAGCCGCCCTCGAGTTCCGAGTTCTGCCCGCTGCCAGACAGTCCAGTTTCTCCCCGTATGAGTTTGGGTCCCCAGAGACTTCCCAGAACTGGAGTTCAGAGCAGTCAGGGGCTTGTGACTCCCTCCTGATTCAAAAAGACAGCCACGTCCTCAGTTGCCAGCCCTTGCCACGTGCGCCTCCGTACCTCTGCACTTTAGTTCCGCACCTCTTCTGAGTCTCAGTGTGCTTTTCTCTTTCCTTCTAGTTGTAGAATTTCCACTCAGCCAGCTTTCCTGTAGTTCTGGATGATGTCCATTTTGTCTTTTAGTTGTATTTTTGTAGTTGTTGTGGGAGGCAGCAATTTCTGGTGTTTACCTATGCCACCATCTTGGTTTCTCTCTCCCTACCCTTGTTTTTTTAGTGAGAGAAAACAATAAACATACTCTGATAATAAATAAGATTGAATGGATAAAATTCTCATTTTAAATGACTGAATTACATTCTATTTTGTGGAAGATTATAAGCTGGTAAACCAATCTTTTCTTCAGATATTCAGATTGTTTCCTTTCATATTTAGAATACACACACACACACACACACACACACATCCAGTGCACAAATTCATGCACCTTGAAAGGAACTGTGGGCCATGAGGCTGCAGTGGGCACGGGGGCAGGTCTCAGTCCATCCTCCATGCCTCTGCCCAGCTCCTCCCGCCACAGCCCCCAGTTCCCTGTCTGCTGGTAGCCCTGCTACCACTGGTGCTGCTCCCACACACTGACAGCGCTTCCCCACACACACCCACTGATGCCACGGAGCAATTGGGGCCAGCGCGGTCAGCAGGTGTGAGCAGTGGCTGCTGCCCTGATTGCCCCTCAGGAGTAGGGGAAGGTGTAGAAGCCCTCAGGGGCAATTGGGGCTGGCAGCTGCTGCTTGCACCAGCTGACGGCCCTGAGCAATCGGGGCCGGCACCAGGAGCCGGCAGCGGGTGCGAATGCTGGGTGGGATCGCAGCACATGGGAGCAAAGTATTTTCAGTAACCAATAGAGGTTCACCCTGATGACAGTGACCAGTGCCCCACCTTGATTTGGCTCCCCCGCTCATCTGCTCCACCATCCCGCTGTGGCCAATGCCCGCCATGTTCCATGCTCTGCCACCTGCTGCTGACACCTGCCATGTTCTGTGTGTGCCCACTGGTGGTCAGTGCACATCATAGCGACCAGTTGTTCTGCCATTCGGTCTATTTGCATATTAGGGTTTTATAGATAGATAGATAGATAGATAGATACATATAAAATGAACCATGTGGAAAATTTTTGCAGCCCAATTTTTGTAATCCTGGTTTCCTTCAGATAAATTCCTATAAATGGAATTTCTGGGTCATTGAGTGTGTACAATTTTTAAGCTTTAATACATATTACCAGTGTAATGGAAATGTTGTACCATACACACTCTTACCAGCAAACAAGAGGGTGCACACATATTTTCTAGAATTAGTTATTTTTATATTTGTCAAGTTATTCTAGTCTAACTTCCCTTTATACCAATGAGCTTAAGCATTTTCACATGTAGATATCTTATTGTGTTGTGTCTATTTCCTTTGCCCATTTTGCCTCTTGAGTATTTGTCTTTTCCTCCTGTTAATTTGTAACTCTTTTATATATTGAATATATTAACCCCTTGCTATACATTTTGCAAATGTATTTTTCTAGTTTATTGTTTGTCTTTTAACTTTGTTTTATTTTTCAGCCTGTGTTATTTAGAAGTATGTTGTTGAATACCCACATACTTGGGGATTTTATGGTTATCTTTCTGTTATTGATTTCTAGTTTAATTCCATTGGGATTTGAGACCAGGCATTGCATATTTAGACTTTTTGAAATTTGTTGAGGTGCATTTAATGGACCAGAATGTCATCTATCTTGGTGAATGTTCTGTGTGAGTTTGAGAAAAATGTGTATTGTGCTGCTGTTTGATGAAGTAGTCAATAGATGTCTATTAAATCCAGTTGATTGATGGTGCTGTTGAGTCCAACTAAGTCTTACTGGTTTTCTGCCTGCTGGATCTGTCCACTTCTGGTAGTGGGGTGCTGGAGTCTTCAACTATGGATATGGATTCATCTATCTCTCCTTGCAGGTTTGGCTTCACATAGTTTAACACATTTTTTTAGGCACATGCACATTAAGGATTGTTGTCTTCTTAGAGAACTGACCCTTCATCATTATGTAATTCCCTTCTTCATCATTGATAAATTTCCTTGCTTTGAAATATACTCTCTGAAATTAATATAGCTAGCTGGGCCAGCATGACTCATTAGTTGAGCATCAACCTATGAACCAGGAGGTCATGACTTGATTCCTGGTCAGGACACATGCCTGCGTTGTGGACTTGGTCCCCAGTAGTGGGTGTGCAGGAGGCAGCCGATCAATGATTCTCTCTCATCATTGATATTTCTATCTCTCTCTCCCTCTCCCTTCCTTTCTCTGAAATCAATAAAAATATTTTTTAAAAAATAAATTAATTTAAAAAAGAAATTAATATAGCTATTCTTGCTTTCTTATGATTAGTGTTATCCTGGTATATATTTTTCTTCATCCACTTACTTTTAATATATATGTGTCTACATTTAGAGTGGGAAACATATAGTGGACTTGATTTCTGATCTACTCTGACAATCTTTCTTTTAATTGTTGCATTTAGACCATTGATATTCAAAGTGATTATCAATATAGTGGGCTCTACCATATTTGTTACTGTTTTCTACTTGTTCCCTTGTTCTTTGTTTCTATCTTTGTCTTCTCTTTTTCTGCCTTCTGTGTTTTTAACTGAACTTTATATATGATTCCATTTTCCCTCCTTAGGATATCAGTTATATTTATATTTTCTCCTTTTTTAGTGGTTGCCTTAGAATTTGCAGTATGACTTACAACTAATCCAACTCCATTTTCAAATAATGCTATACCACTTCACAGGTAATATAGAGTACTTGTAAAAAAATAATCCAAATTCCTCCCTGCCATCCCTTATATCTTTGCTGTCGTTCATTTCACTTATATATAAGCATGCATAAGTGTAGATATATAAAATATCTATACTAATAAAAAGGGCAATATGCTAATTAGACCGGACATCCTTCTGGACAAAGCCATGGGAGTGGGGGGGGGGGGGAAGATTAGGAGTGATCAGGCCGGCAGAGGAGAACAGTTAGAGGCAACCAGGCAGGCAGGCAGGTGAGCAGTTAGGGGCAATCAGGCAGGCAGGCAGGTGAGAAGTTAGGAATCAGCAGTCCTGGATTGCAAGAGGGATGTCCCTGCAGGATCAGGCCTAAACAGGCAGTCGGATATCCCCCAAGGGGTCCCAGATTGGAGAGGGTACAGGCCGAGCTGAAGGACCCCAGCCCATGCACAAATTTTGTGTACTGGGCCTCTAGTGCATACATAATTGAATACGTTGTTGTTATTGTTCTGAACAAACTGTTATCTGTTAGAGCAATTAAAAATAAGAAAAATGAATGTTTTTTAATTTTACCTTTACTTATTCCTTCTTTGACGTTCTTTCTTTCCTTATTCAGATCCAAGTTTCTGACCTATATTATTTTCCTTCTCTCTAAAGAATTTCTTTTCACATTTATTTCTACTGGTAATAAATTCCCACAAGTTTTATCTGTCTGAGAAAGTGTTTAATTCTCTGTCACTGTTTTTTTTTTAATTTTTTCAGTTATAGTCAGGTCTTTATTTAAGAATCTCATCTGCCAACTTAGCATTTTCCATCAACACAGGGAACAAAAGCCTCCACAGGCTTCACCATCTTCTGCTTAGGTGCTGCCTTTGTGGGAGCCTTAGCAGCAGCCATTGCTGCCTTTTCAGATGTTTGCTTCAAATTTCTTGCTTCCTTGACAGCCCTGAGAGCTTGTTCTCGTTGAGCTTTCCTAACTTCAGGTTTCTGGTTCCTCTTGGCTGTTATATCAGCAGGAGATGCACCAGTGATGGCCCTCTGGAATTTGACTGCACAGTGGGTTCTTTTCTTTTGAAGTTCTTCCAACTGTCCCTTTTTGTGCTCCCTTCTGTAGAGGACAGTCCAGTTTACCTGCCCAGGATTCCTCTTGGAAAGGAATGCCGACTTGCATTTTGCATTAAGAAACTGGAAACCCTTCCCGTTGTTCCTGGTGTAGCACCTCCTGTGTCCGGGGTAGATCTTGTACCCACTGAAACTGCACAGCTTGGCCTTCACAGCTGTGGCCACCAGGGAGCAGAAAAGATGGTGAAGAGAAGGAGACTCTGTCACTTTTGATGGATAATGTCACAGGGTACAGAATTCTAGGTTAGTGTGAAGGTTTTTCTCTTAACATTTTATTTCACTCCACACTCTTCTTGTTTGCACAGTTTCTGAGGAGTAGTTGGATATAATTCTTTTTTTTTTTTAAATATATTTTATTGATTTTTTACAGAGAGAAAGGGAGAGGAACAGAGAGTTAGAAACATCGATCAGCTGCCTCCTGCACATCTCCCACTGGGGATGTGCCCGCAACCCAGGTACATGCCCTTGACCGGAATCGAACCTGGGACCTTTCAGTCCGCAGGCCGACGCTCTATCCACTGAGCCAAACCGGTTTCGGCTGGATATAATTCTTATCTTTGCTATAGGTAAGGCGTTGTTTTCCTCTGGCTATTTTCAAGATTGTTTTTCTTTATCTTTCATCTTTTGTAATTTGAAAATGATATGCATAGGTGCCAGTTTGGGGTATTTTGTTTGGGGTTTTTTGCATCTATATTATTTGGTGTTCTTTGAGCTTCTTGAATCTGTGTTTTGTGTCTGACTTTATTTGGGGGCAATTGTTAGTGACTTGTTTCAAATACAGTGGGGCCTTGACTTACGAGTTTAATTCGTTCCATGATGGAGCTCGTAACTCAAATTATTCATATGAAATATGAATAATTTTCACCATTACAATGAAACGTGATGCTGGGCTGATGTTGTGGCATTCACTGTGACGTTCGCTGCGCCAACTAGCGGTGGGGTATCTGAAGCTGGCTCGTAATCTGAATTTTAGCTCGCAACTCAAAGCAAAATATTGGCTGAGAGACGGCTCGTATCTCGAAAAACTCATTAGTCGGGACACTCTTAAGTCAAGGCCCCACTGTACTTCTTCTGCTCCTTTCCCTCTTTTCTTTCTGTTATTCCCATTATGAGTTTGTAACATCTTTTGTAGTTGTCTCATAGTCCTTGAATATTATGAGTGTGTGTTTTTTCCAGTCTTTGTTCTCTTGGCTTTTAAGTTGGGGAGGTTTCTATTTACCTCAAATTGTCTCAAGCTCAAAGATTCTTTCCTCAGCTGAGGCCAGTCTACTAATAAGCCCATCGAAGTCATTCTTCATTTCTGTTACCCTGTTTTTTGGTTCTTTTTCGTTCTTTCTTAGCATTTCCCTCTCTGCTTACATTGCCCCTCTCTTCTTACAAGCTGTCTACTCTATCCATTAGAGCTCCTCACATATTAATCACAGTTGTTCTAAATCCCCTGTCTGGTAATTCGAACATCCCTGCCTTGTCTGGTTCTGATGTTTGCTCTGTCGCTTCAAGTTGTACTTTTTGCCTTGTGGTATGTCTTGTGAGTTTTTCTTGCTAGTGAGCATGATGGACCAGGTCGATTGAACTGCTGTAAGCAGGCCTGTAGCAAGGTAGCTGTGCGGGGGAGGGAGGGCTCTGCAGCCCTGGGGTGAGGCCTCCGTCTCAGGGAGCCTGTGCGTCTGGAGCTTCACAAGTGCTTCTTAGTTTCTCTCCCCCTCAGGTAGGACAGGATGGCCAGATGGAGCTAACATTCAGTGTTTCCCTTCCCCCAGGCCAGTTAGGCTCTGGAAATACCCAGCAGGTGAGGCCCTAGGCAATTAGTCTCCCTGAGGTCAGGTCTTATTAAGAACTGAGTGCTTGGGTCTTTCAAAATGGCTGTCTCCTCACCCTGCTGGAAGCAGGAGCTTCTTCTCCCTTATTTACTGTGACAGCTTGGTTGAGCTCCTGGAGGTAAATCTCACAGAACTGTGGGGGCTCCCGTGACAGAGTCCCAGGGTTCTACCTCTCAGAGGTGTCCACACTGAGGAGCCTCCAGCGTGTCTTTGGTTCCAGTTTAAGTGTTCCTGCCCTGGCACTGGCTCCCACGTGTTCCTGTAAGTTCTGCCTCCCTGTGTTAGCCTGGCTGTTTGCAGTCTTGGCGGCCGCGGTTTCCCCTGTGTCTGTGTCCTCCCCTCTCTTAGGGATACAAGACAAGTTGTTGATTTTTCAGTTTATTCAAGTTTTTACTTGTTTGGACAGAGTGGCGACCTCTTAGATGTGGAACCAGAAACTGAAAGTCTCTGTTTCTGTTTTGTTTTTTAAAAAAAAACAAAAAAACACCTATATAGGTTTTGAACTTTAAGGAAGTCATCGCTATTAATCTTGTTCCCTATGAATTTGGTGTTTGTTTTTATATTTGGAATAGCCTTGCCAAACAACAAGATGAGAAAAATATGAATCCAAGTTTTTCTCTGGTTTCATAAGAGCCTCTTATGTTACGTGTCTATGGGATGGTTAGAAGGCAGTGTCGATGTTGCAAAGAAATTCCTCCTATCCTTTGGGACAGCTGCCCTAAAGCTGAGTTGTGCAATGGGCTTCTCGCTAGAGAACTAGGAACAGGAAAACACTGTTCCCTTCAGTGTTTCATGACAATAAGGAGCTGAGAGGCCAGTTTCTCTTTGTTCTATTAGAACACATTGTATGCGGGAAACGTATTTATACGTTCTGCCAGTGTAGTAGAGCGCAGGACACGTATTCATACGTTTTTTATAGACTAGCGGTAGAATGCGGGTAACGTATAAATACATAAACTAAAGTTATCGTAATTTTACTGAACGTTGCCATTTGCGCAAAAAATTAGCAAAAATGGCCCGCACCACCTGTTAGCGCGCGATAAAAACTACCCGCAAACAATGTGTTAGGAGGGACAATTCTGCAGACGAAGGATATGATGGGATCTCTCACCTACCTTTGTAAGAAAGATAGACAGCATAACACCCCCCTCCCCAAAGATGCCCACATTCTAACCCACGGAATTTGGGAATATGTTACTCTCAGGGCAAAAGGGAATTTGCAAATGTGATTAAATTAAAGATCTTGAGATAGGAAGATTATTACAGTGGGCCCAAAGTAATTCCAAAGGTCCTTATAAAAAAGGTACAAAAGGCTCAAAATAAGAGAGAGAAGGCAATGAGCTATGTAAGCAGAGGTCAGAAAGAGAGAAATGTGGAGATGCTGTGCTGCTAACTGTGAAGATGGAGCAAAGGGCCAGGAACCAAAAAATGCAGGTGGCCTCTGGGAGCTGGGAAGTCAAGGAGATGGATTCTCCCCTAGAGTTTCTGAAGGGAATGCTGCCCTGCTGACACCTTGATTTTAGACTTCTGGCCTCCAGAACTGGGAGATAACACATTTGTGTTGTCTGAGCCACTGAGTCTATGATAATGTGTTACAGCGGCCACAGCAAACTAATACGGGATTGTTGAGAGTACAAGTCAAGTGCAAGCCAAATCCCTGCAATGGCTCCTGACTACTGTTGCTTCCCAGCCTGTGTTCCATTTCATTGGCTACTGCCAGGACAGTAAGATTGATTCTACTATCAATGCATGGTCTCAGAGCACTGATATCTTACCCATAAAGAGTTGGTTGGAGTCATCTGCCTAAAAGTAAAAGGGCAGGAAATGTAGGTTTTTACATTTCCTTTAATTAGCACAGGACATCACTATGAGTTCTTAGATAACTTAATTCTGATTAGTTTCTAATAGGAAGAAAAATCACCCTGCCTTTTAAAACTACTGTGAGGATGAAATGACAAAATACATACATTGCCCGGCACATAGAAGCCTTCAGTAGGCGTTTGCCGTTGTTATTTGCATTAGGGTTCTTCAGAGAAACAGAACCAACAGAATGTGTGTATATATTAGATACAGAGACTTATTTTAAGGAATTGGCTCACACATTGTGGGGTCTGGCAAATCTGAAATCTGTAGGGCCGGCTACCAGGCTGAAACCCAGGGAAGAATTGTTGTAGTTTCAAGTTCAAAGACAGTCTAGAGACAGAATTCTTTCTCCTTCCAGGACCATAGTCTTCTCTTAAAGCCTTCTACTGATTAGGTGAGTATGAGGCGTAATCTGCTTACTTTTAACATATATTACTGGTGTAAATGTTAATCACATCTAAAATATCTTTCATAGCAATATCAAAACTGGCGCTTGACCAAATATCTCAGCACCAGCTTAGCCAAGTTGACACACAAAATTAACTATCACACTGTTATTTGTTTCCTATCTTATTTCAATGGCTAAAACTTTTAGGCAAATAATAAAAGTAATACCAGACATCCTTATCCTTTTTCTAATTCTAATGGAAAAGCTCTGCTGTCTTCATTAAGTATCTCTACTAACTACTACTAAGGAGCTATTCTCTATTCCCACGTTACTATATTTTAAATCATTAATGGGTACCATCTGCTATGATGATTATGTAATTTTTCTCTCCTGACTTTTTGAAATGTTTTATTTATAGATTTCCTATTAATACACCATTCCTTGCATTCCTATGGTAAACCTTACTTGGTCACATTGTAGTTTTCTCTTCAGAGGCTGCTGGGTTTAATTTCTTAGTATTGCACTTCATTTTAAATGTGTATCCCTAAGTCAATGTTGGCTGTGTCTGAAGCGTTTTGGTTTTCATTGTTTTGGGGGAAGGGTCTGTCTTTGTGATCTGTGTTAAAACTTGGTATTGTACTTTTAATCTTGCTCAGTTCATAAGTGAACTGTGAGAATTCCATGTTTCTCTGTGTCATGTGATGATGCATAAAGCCTGAGACTAATTGTGTTCCTAGTGGCAAAATATACAGACTATCTTATCACAAACGTAATTTGGTGTCTCCTTCCTTGTAAATTCCTTTTCACTGACTCAATATTAGCATTATATCAACTCAATATTATGCTAAACATCAATTCAATAGTATGCTTAAATATATATAGATATATAGATATATAGATACATAGATATATAGATACACACACACACACACACTTCGTTTTCCTTATTTAAAAAAGGATATTTCTTTTTACTCTGTCTTTCGGATCTCCTATCTACTTTCTGTAACTCTCTGTAAACTTCCACCTGGAAAAATAAAAAGTCCCTAGCATGAATAGCCACCTGTTGTTCACAAGAGTTGGCCAT